GGCCCTCTGAGTCTTTCTCATCTGTAAAATGGGTATAATAATGCCTATCTAATGGGTTTTAGTAATGGTGGAGATAATGCCTGAAAGTGCTGGTATAAAGGTCTTTTTTTTTTTTTTTTTTTTTTTGAGACGGAGTCTCGCTCTGTCGCCCAGGCTGGAGTGCAGTGGCGCGATCTCGGCTCAGTGCAGCCTCCGCCGCCTGGGTTCAAACAATTCTTCTGCCTCAGCCTCCGGAGTAGCTGGGACTACAGACGCGTGCCACCACGCCGGGCTAATTATCGGCCAGGCAGGTCTCGAACTCCTGACCTCATCATCAGCCCGCCTCAGCCTCTTAAAAAGAGCTGGGATTACAGGCATGAGCCACTGCTCCTGGCCAGGAAAACCTTTTTTCAAACAGTGTTTTCCTTAGCTGTCATGCCACAACAACAGTCACCAACACAGGAGACTTCTGTCACCAAATATTTGGAGAATTTTTCCCACGCGGCAAGCAATGAAGAGCAGCTGGGTGTCCTCAAGTTCAGTTCCAATGTAATCAACCAGAGACGGCGTCAGATACCACAGGGTGAGGGCACAGACTCATGAGACTACACCCTCCTTCCCACAGGTCACAAGTCCTGGTCCCGAGAAACTTCTGACTGACTGGCTTCAAGTTGGAGTTCCTGAGACCCCCTTCCCCTCTATGGAGTCAACTCATTTGCTCTCGTGACCCAAAAACACAGGGAAACCCTTATTCACTGCTTTATTACAAGGAAAATTTTTTTCTCTCTTCATTTTTTTTTGAGACAGGGTCTTAGTCTGTCACCCAGAGTGAGTACAGTGGCAGGGTCTGGCTCTGTCACCCAGGCTGGAGTGCAGTGGCACGATCTTGACTCACTACAGCCTTGATCCCCCACCAAGTAAGCTGGGACTCCAGGCACACACCACCACACCCAGCTAATTTTTAAATATTTTTTGTAGAGACCGGGTCTCACTCTTGCCCTGGCTGGTCTTGAACTCCTGGGCTCCAGCAATCCCCCTGCCTCAGTTTCCCAAAGTGCTGGGATTACAGGCATGAGCCACTGTGCCCAGCCTCGAAGGATATTTTAAAGGTTAGAAATAAATAGCCTGATGAAGAGATACAGACAGGCCGGGCGCGGTGGCTCAAGCCTATAATCCCAGCACTTTGGGAGGCCGAGACGGGTGGATCACGAGGTCAGGGGATCGAGACCAGCCTGGCTAACACGGTGAAACCCTGTCTCTACTAAAAAATACAAAAAATAAAACTAGCCAGGCGAGGTGGCGGGCGCCTGTAGTCCCAGCTACTCGGGAGGCTGAGGCAGGAGAATGTTGTAAACCCAGGAGGTGGAGCTTGCAGTGAGCTGAGATCGGGCCACTGCACTCCAGCCTGGGCGACAGAGCAAGATTCCGTCTCAAAAAAAAAAAAAAAAAAAAGATACAGACAGGGTGGTCTGGAAGGGTCCAGAGCAGGAGCTTCTATCTCTGCAGAGTTTGGGTTACGTCACCCTCTGGGCACATGGATGAGTTCTTCACCTTCTGTCAGCCTCCACGTGTTGAGCTCTCAGAAGCTCCCCGAACCCTGTCCTTTGGACCTTTTATGGAGAACTCCATTGGCTGTCCATGATTGAAGCATGGACAACTGTGATAATGTGACTGGGCAAAAAGGGTCTGATCTAAGCCTAGCAAGGCTGGTCCAGATTCTTTGGGCCTTGGTGCAGCATTCCTTTCTCCAGGGTATGGGGCAAGGACCCACTCTGGAATGAGGATCCTACAACCACAATCAGATTAGAGTCCTGCCTTGGGCAGCTGAAAAGAGGACAGGAGAAGGTCAGAGAGAGGAGAGGCTGTTTTTTGACGCCTGAGGTGCCCCAACATTACAATGAAAGACTAACCATGGTCATGTGAGTTATGAGCTAGGAACTGTGGACAAAACCAACACATATACAATCATCTCCCACCTCCTAGCGCCTTTACTTTCACAGCCTCTGCAGCAAACTGTGGTCACTATAATTGCTCCGGTGGCACAGAGGCATACCCAGGGGAATCTTCCCGGGGGGCTACTCTGTGCGCACGTGGGAACCCACACCTCCCCTCCCTCTGACCAGCAACCAGGACAGTTTGGTGTTCCAAGCAGTGGGCTCATGTCTGTTTTGGCTCAGAACAGGGTGGGGAGATCGGGCCAGGGACCCGCAGGAGGGTTTATCCTTGAGATTGCGTGGGAGACACAACAAGGGGTGGGGGCCTGCGGGCGGGGCGGGGCGAAGCAGGTGATATCCAGCCCAGAGCCCCAGCCTCTCCCCACAGTCTCACCATGGCCCGCACCGTGGTGCTTATCACCGGCTGCTCCTCGGGCATCGGCCTGCACTTGGCGGTACGTCTGGCTTCAGACCCATCCCAGAGCTTCAAAGGTATAGATAGGTAGGGACAGGGAGAGAGAGAAGGGAGGAGCCCCTGGAGGCCAGAAGACAAGTCAGATCTTCCTTCTCTCCCAAAACCTCCAGTATATGCTACATTGAGGGACCTGAAAACACAGGGCCGGCTGTGGGAGGCGGCCCGGGCCCGGGGATGCCCTCTGGGATCCCTAGAGACGTTGCAGCTGGACGTAAGGGACTCAAAATCCGTGGCCGCTGCCCGGGAACGCGTGACTGAGGGCCGTGTGGACGTGCTGGGTGAGCCTCCCAGAAACACATGGGCTCCTAGGAGCTTTCTCCACCCTGCCTTCAACCCAACATGTCCCGAGGCCCAGGGAGCACGAGGGGACAGGCTGTGCTGAGGTGATGCTGAGGCAGGCTGGTCGGGCCTCTGTCCCTGCAGTGTGTAACGCAGGCCTGGGCCTACTGGGGCCGCTGGAGGCGGTGGGGGAGGACGCCGTGGCCTCTGTGCTGGACGTGAACGTGGTGGGGACGGTGCGGGTGCTACAGGCCTTCCTGCCAGACATGAAGCGGCGCGGTTCGGGACGCGTGTTGGTGACCGGGAGCGTGGGAGGATTGATGGGTGAGTGGTAGGTACTGGCCTCCGCAGCTCCAGATTGTGTGGGGAGCTGAGCCTTGAAAGCAGGCTCCGGTGGGAGGGTAGGGGGGTAGGGGGAGGGGTACAGTCAGCTTGGAGGGGCACCGCCTTCCCGGGTATGACCCCCTGGCCCCTGGGCCTCAGGAACCTCGTCTCCCCACCTAAGGGCTACCCTTCAATGACGTTTACTGCGCCAGCAAGTTCGCGCTCGAAGGCTTATGCGAGAGTCTGGCAGTTCTACTGCTGCCCTTTGGGGTCCAGTGAGTCAACACCTCGTCTCCCCAACCCTCTGAACTCTGACCTAGAGACCCCGAGCACCCCGTCATGCGGGAGCTGCTCTGGGGCGATCTCCCTGGCCCTCCCTGCCCAGCTCACTTTTGCTGTGTGCCAGGGCTCCCGCGTAGCCTCAGATGGATTTGGGAGGGCTGCTCCAGCAGGAACCCGCGTTTCAAATGTTCTGGTTATCACCAGCACCCTTTCTGGCTCACTGCGCAGCGCAGCGGTGCGGGGCCCGGGACGTGGTCGGGGCTGGGGCTGGAGTTGGGGCTGGGACTGGTGCCTGGCTCGCGTCCGCCCCCGCCCACTACGTTGCTCTCGGGCCGGCAGCTTGAGCCTGATCGAGTGCGGCCCAGTGCACACCGCCTTCATGGAGAAGGTGTTGGGCAGCCCAGACGAGGTGCTGGACCGCACGGACATCCACACCTTCCACCGCTTCTACCAATACCTCGCCCACAGCAAGCAGGTCTTTCGCGAGGAGGCGCAGAACCCTGAAGAGGTGACGGAGGTGAGCGCGGGGCTGGACTCCGGGAGCCGGGGCGGTGCGTCCTCCAGCGCGCATTGGTGGCCAGAGCGCTCCTTCCGCTGCCGCAGGTCTTTCTCACCGCTTTACGCGCCCCGAAGCCGACCCTGCGCTACTTCACCACCGAGCGCTTCTTGCCCTTGCTGCGGATGCGCCTGGACGACCCCAGCGGCTCCAACTACGTGGCCGCCATGCACCGGCACGTGTTCGGCGACGATCCAGCAGAGGCCGAGGCTGGGGCCGGGACTGGGGGCGGGGCCGGGCCCAGTGGGGTGGGGGACCCTGAGCTCGGCGATCCTCCAGCCGCCCCGCAGTAAAGTCTTCCTCAGCCGCTGTCTCCCTCGCCCTTCTTTGTCCTCTGGGTCTGTGTGGTCCCTGGGGACGGGGCGGCGGTGGTGGTGGTGGCGGCGGCTGTGGGTGGCTAACTAAGATACATCGCCTTAGCCAGTTTTACCAGAGCAGCTAGGCACAATGGCTGTCGCCTGTAATGCCAGCGCTTTGGGAGACGGAGACAGGAGGATTGCTCAAGCCCTGGAGTTGGAGACCAGCCAGAGCAACATAGTGAGACCCCTATCTCTACAAAAATAAAAAACTTAAAAATCAGCACAGTGGCACCATTCCTTGAGCCCAGGAGTTGGAGGGTGCAGTGAGCATGATGGGGTCACTGCACTCTAGCCTGGGCGACAGAGTGAGACCCGTCAATTAATCAAACCAACCAACCGAGCAACTCAGAAACCGAAGTCCAGAAAGAAGCAGCCCAGGATCACGCCTCAAGTCCACGTTAAAGTCCAGACACAGTCTCTGGATACCCAATGGGCATCTGCAGGAGGAGTTAGGTGGCACTTGGGTTGGAGTAGAGTCAGGTTATGACCTGGACCCCATTAGCCATGAGACCTCAGGCAAGTTCCTTACTTTCTCTGAGTCTTTCTTTTCTTTCTTTCTTTTTTTTTTTTGAGACGGAGCGTGCTGCTGTTTGCCCAGGCTGCAGTAGCAGTGGGGTAATCTCGGTTCACCCACAATTCTCACCCCGCTTCCCGCGTGCTCGAAGTGAGTCGTCGCTGAACCTCCAGCTGGGAATTATAGCGGCATGCACCGGACCATCAACGGCCCTTTTTTGTATGGAAAATACAAATACTATAAAAAATTTTGTATTTTTAGAGGAGGGTTCCCATGTTGGCCAGGCTGGTCCCAACTCTTGACCTTACGTGATCACTTTGCCCTCAGTCTCCAATGAGTGCTGGGCCTAACGGCAAGAGCCACCCATCGCCGGCCCCTGAGTCTTCTCCAATCTGTAAAATGGGTATAAATAATCCTACTAATGTTTATAATGGTACAGATAATCCTCCCGCAAAGTGCTGGTATATAAGGTCTTTTTTTTTTTTTTTTTTTTTTTTGAGACTGAATCTCGCTCGTCGCCCAGGCTGGAGTGCAGTGGCCGGATCGTCGGCTTCACTCGCAAGCCCCGCCTTCCCGGGTATCACGGGCCATTCTCGTGCGTCAGCCTCCCGACGTTAGACCTGACACAGGCCCCGGCTCACCGTCGCCCGCTAGTTTTTTGGTATATTTAGTAAGAGACGAAGGTTTCAACTGTATGACCAGAGTGGCTCGACCTGCTGACCTCGTGATCCGCCCGTCTCGGCGATCCAAAGTTGCTGGATTAACAGGCTGAGCACCACGCCCGGCCTGGTATAACGAGTCTTAATAGCCAACAAGGACTGTTATTAAGAACAGAATAGTAATATGACTACTGTCAACATGTTTGAAATGTGTAAAGAAGAAGAGCGTTAGAATTGAATCAACAGGGATTAAAATAAGGACAGCCCCACTCACCCTTCTCTGCCCCGAAAGACTGAGAGATCCCCACCATCTGAAGCTGCTCACCAGGAGTTCCGAGCTGGGGCCTACCAGGACGGCTACTTTTGCTAACATCGGTCCTGTTCGTTTCCTGAGCCCAGTGGAAGTCCCAGTGGGGCAGGGAGTCCATTGATAGGGGGTCAGTAAGGGTTGTAGAGAAACTCCCTCTTGAAATCTTCGTGGAGGTCGGTGCGGGGAGGAGTGAACAGCGTAAGAGGCTATGGGTGGATACGCACAGAGAAGGGGGCAGGTGTCCCAGGAGGGGCGGTACTTGAGGATGTGATCAGCCGGGTCTGAGAGAGGGAAGGTGAAGGCGATAGCCCTTTGAGTGGGCAGGGACATGACCATAAAAACAGAAATCTGGAAGGGAAACAGACAGGAACTTCTGGAGTTCCTTGGAGCTGTTGGTGTGAGGCACTGCGGAAAAGGCAGGCCTCCCAGCCGCTGCCTGCCTCCACCTCCGATGAGGTCTTCTCTGCCTGTCGATGATGATGCTGCCCCTGCTTTGGAGGAAGATGCTCCCAGCCTATCCCTCTCCCCTGCCAGTCCTCCTTGCCCTGCTGACCCAGACAGATTCCTGCTATCCCTGCAGCATCCCAGAAGGCCACAAGGGAGGGGCCCAGGGGCATGGGTTTTCTGAGCCTGAGATCTGCTCTGAGTCCCAGCTCTCACTATATCTCCCTGCTTTGCCACTCTTGACAGTGTGTGTACGTATGTGTTGGCACGTTGTACTGTGTGGGTGGCTCACAAGGTCACCCTGGGGTGGATATAAAGAGGTAAAGGTGACCCCCCCTCTTCCATACATTCATGACTTTTTTCAAACTTGTGAATATTCACATTGGTTTTTTTTTTTTTCTTTTTTTTTTTGGACAGAGTCTCCACTCTGTCGGCCTCAGCTGGAGTGCCAGTGCGCAATCTCAGCTCACTGCAAGCTCTGCCCTCCTGCCGGTTCAAGATGTTCTCCTGCCTTCAGCTCCGATAGCTGGGACTCACGGCGTTCACGCCACCTCTACGCCTCCAGTGCCTAATTTTTTTGTATTTTTGAGTAGAGTAACGGGGTTTCACCATGTTAGCCAGGATGGTCTCGATCTCCTGACCTCGTGATCCACCTGCCTCGGCCTCCCAAAGTGCTGGGATTACAGGCATGAGCCACCACGCCCGGCCACACATTGTTAATAATTTTGTGCATCCCATGACTTCGAATAGAGCACTTAGATGCCGATGACCCCCCACCAAAGAAACCCCACTGTCTCCCACAGACTCCAGGTCTGTATCTCCAACTGCCTACTCAATACAACATCTCCACCTGATGCAATGAACTTAATGTGTCCAAACCCCAATTCCAGATTTCCAGTCCTCCTACTGGCTCCTTCTCCAGTCTTCTCTACTTTACTATGTGACCACTCCTTTTTTCCCAATACTCGTTTTAAAAACCCTGGAGTAGTCCTTGCCTGCAGTCTCTCTCACCTTTCAACCAATTCATCAGCAAATACTGACAGCTCTAGCTTCACTCATCAAACCATATTCCGAAATCACCCTATTCCGGATTGCACGGTGTCATCTCTCCCTTGAATTACAGCTGTAGCCTCCTGACTAGTTTTCTTGATTCCACTCTTGCCCATCAGCAGTAAAATCACCATAGTGCATTTAAAATGATCTTTTAAAAATGATAGGGCTGGGCTGGGCGTGATGGCTCATGCCTGTAATTGCAGCACTTTGTGAGGCTGACATTATTGCTTGAGGTCAGGAGTTTGTGACCAACCAGGTGAAACCCTGTGTCTACTAAAAATACAAAAATTAGCCAGGCATGGTGGTGGGTACCTATAAACCCAGCTGTCCGGAGGCTGACAAAGGAGAATCGCTTGACTTAGGGAGGTGGAGGCTGCAGTGAGCCAAGATTGGGACACTGCACTTCAGACTAGGCAACAGAGACTTTGTCTCAAATAAATAAAAATTGGCTGCGCATGGTGGCTCACGCCTGTAATCCCAGCACTTTGGAAGGCTGAGGTGGGTGGAATACCTGAGGTCAGGAGTTCAAGACCAGCCTGGCCAACATGGCGAAACCCTGTTTCTACTAAAAACCCAAAAGTTAGCCAGGTGTGGTGGCACGTGCCTGTAATCCCAGCTACTCAGGCGGCTGAAGCAGGAGAATTGCTTGAACCTGGGAGGTGTAGGCTGCAGTGAGTGGAGATTGTGCCATTGCACTCTAGCCTGGGCAACAAGAGTGAAACTCCACCTCAGAATAATAATAAAAAAATGAAAAAAATTAAAATAAAAAAGGGAGCCTGGGCAACAAAGTGAGACCCGGTCTCTACAAAAAAATAAAATTATTTGGATGTGGTGACATATATCTGTAGTCCCAGCTACTTGGGAGGCTGAGGTGGGAAGACTAAGCCCAGGAGGTCGAGGCCACAGTAAACTGTGGGCACACCCACTGCACTCCAGCCTGGGCAATAGAGGGAGACCCTGTCTCAAAAAAAGAAAGAGGGGCCGGGCGTGGTGGCTCAAGCCTGTCATCCCAGCACTTTGGGAGGCCGAGACGGGTGGAATCACGAGGTCAGGAGATCGAGACCATCCTGGCTAACACGGTGAAACCCCGTCTCTACTAAAAAATGCAAAAAACTAGCCGGGCGAGGGTGGCGGGGCCTGTAGTCCCAGCTACTCGGGAGGTGAGGCCGGAGAATGGCGTAACCTGGGAGGCGGAGCTTGCAGTGAGCTGAGATCCGGCCACTGCACTCCAGCCTGGGCGACAGAGTGAGACTCCGTCTCAAAAAAAAAAAAAAAGAAAGAAAGAGGCCGGTGTGGTGGCTACGCCGTTAATCCCAGCACTTTGGGAGCCAAGGCTGGTGAATCACTTGAGGCAGGAGTTCGAGACCAGCCTGGCCAACATGGAGAAACCCGCGTCTCTATTAAATATACAAAACTTAGCTGGGCATGGTAGTTTGTGCCTGCAATTCCAGCTACTCGGGAGGCTGAGGCAGGAAAATCGCTTGAACCGGGAGACGGGGGTTGCAGTGAGCTGAAATTTCCTCCACTGCACTCCAGCATGGGTAAAAAAAGTGAGACTTGGCAGGCACAGTGGCTCACGCCTGTAATCCCAGCACTTTGGGAGGCTGAGGCGGCCGGATCACGAGGTCAGGAGATGGAGACCATCCTGGCTAACACGGTGAAACCTCGTCTTATTTAAAAATACGGAAAAAATAAAGCCAGTGTGGTGGCGGCGCCTGTAGTCGCAGCTACTTGGGAGGCTGAGGCAGGAGAATGGCGTGAACCCGGGAGGCGGGCTTGCAGTGAGCCTAGATCGCGTCACTGCACTCCAGCCTGGGCAACACAGCAAGACTCGTTCAAAAAAAAAAAAAAAAAAAAAAAAAAGAAAAAGAAAAAAAGAGGAAAGAAGAGAAAGAAAAAAAAGGTCTGTTCCTGTGTTTGCTCAGAACACCTTCTATGGCTTCCCATTTCAGTAAAATCCAAGTGTCTTAGCCCGTTTTGTGCTGGCTAAATCGGAAAACCACAGACTGGATAATTTGTAAAGAATCAAAGTTTATTTTGCTCACAGTTTCACAGTTTTAGGGGCTGGAAAGTGCAAGAACCTCATGCAGTATCTAGCAAAGGGCTGTCCTAGGATGGAAGGGCAGAAGGTGGAAGCAAACGAGAGACAGGAAATTGAGCCTGTCCAGTAGCCTCCCACGTGAGGATCCTCGGACTGAGAGGGTACTAGGAGGCCTGACACAGCGCAACCCTGTGATCCCCACCTCCGTCCCTGGAACGTAGGAAATCTGGGTGTTAGTTCTGGCTTTGCGATGCCTCTTGGGTGACCTGGCTGAAGCTAATCTCTCCTCATTAGGCCAGAAAGGAATCTATGAAGCGGGCTTTGAATCCTGCCTTGACTTTCTCCGCCCCGTCCCGGCGGAGATCATATCGCGACTAACGCTTCACCCACTTCCAGAGCCTTCGAGATAGGCCCCGCCCCATCAGCAGGACACCTCCCACGCCACTAGAAGTCTCGCGAGAATCCCGCGATGAAGCGAAGTCGAGACGTTTGACCGTCCTCCTTTTCCGTAGTTTCGAGTTGCGGTTTCTGTTAGTGTTTCCGGGTTGCCGCCAGGGAAGCCTCCGCGGTGGTGCAAGTGGAACCAAAGCCTTGAGGTTTCAGTGAGTAGGGGACCGACGTGAGCTTGAGCGTCCCCCTTTAGCGTCCCTCTTCGATTCCTTGGAGACTGTGGTGCAGCTTAGCAAGAGGGCCCAGGATTTTTGGATCCCCAGCCCTGTGACAAGGGTTCCTGTACAGTTTCCCCCTCCCAGAATTTCGACTCAGTTCAGCGAAGTCACCGCTCCGTCTGAGAAATGAGGACACCAAGGCTTACAGCACAGCCCCGAGGCACCGTCTGCCAGGCCCCGTCCCCTCCCCCGGCTCCTCTCGATCAGCATTGAAACCCCGTCCCTGCTCCAGGTCTCCTCTGGGGTCCAAGGTCCTGTGCAGGCCTCTGCCTCGGCCGCAGGCCCTTCCGTCACCGTCGCCTCGTCTCCCTGACTGTCCGCAGGCCTGGGCAGCATGGCCGTATTCCGGTCGGGTCTCCTGGTGCTGACGACGCCGCTGGCCTCCCTGGCCCCTCGCCTGGCCCCCATCCTGACCTCGGCGGCCAGGCTGGTGAATCACACACTCTATGTACACCTGCAGCCTGGCATGAGCCTGGAGGGCCCGGCTCAGCCCCAGTCCGGCCCCGTGCAGGCCACGTTTGAGGTTCTTGATTTCATCACCCACCTCTATGCTGGCGCCGACATCCACAGGCACCTGGATGTCAGAATCCTACTGACCAATATCCGAACCAAGAGCACCTTTCTCCCTCCCCTGCCCACCTCAGTCCAGAATCTCGCCCACCCGCCAGAAGTCGTGTTGACAGACTTCCAGACCCTGGATGGCAGCCAGTACAACCCGGTCAAGGAGCAGCTAGTGCGATACGCCACCAGCTGTTACAGCTGTTGTCCACGACTGGCCTCGGTGCTGCTATACCCCGATTATGGGATAGGAGAGGTGCCCGTGGAGCCCCTGGATGTCCCCTTACCCTCCACGATCAGGCCAGCTTCCCCCGTGGCCAGGTCTCCAAAGCAGCCGGTGCGTGGCTACTACCGTGGTGCTGTCGGTGGCACGTTTGACCGCCTGCACAACGCCCACAAGGTGTTGCTCAGTATCGCGTGCATCCTGGCCCAGGAGCAGCTTGTGGTGGGAGTAGCAGACAAAGATCTGTTGAAGAGTGAGTGAGAGGGACCCTGGACTAGGGCAGTGGAGGATCCCCATATCTCCCCATTCCGGACCCTTATGCCGAGATCGAGGAAGGGTAGGGCCATTCACTACTTCCCACCCTTCCCAAATGTCACAGTGGTTGACACTCAGTTGGTGCTAAGGACATTTTGTCAAATAAACAGCTTTCTCAGCATGTGGTCCAATCACCACTCAATCAGAATACCCCAAATGTGAAGCAAAGGGATCTGTACTTTAGCAAGTTTTCCAGGAGATACACCCTAATGAAACACTGGGAATGAATGGGTGAGTGAGCTGCAGGTAGCAGTGCCACAGACAGGAGGAGGAAACTCAAGCATGGCATGGGTCTTGGAATTTTCCATCTGCCTCTGATGCCCTCTGGCACTGCTCATTCTCTGGAGTGGTTTCCTGGTGGCTTATTTTCTGGACACATGCCAAGCCCTTGGAGTGACTATTGTGCTTGCCTGTTTCTTCACCTTCATGCTCCCCTCACCATCACCATAGGCCTTACCAGCTGAACCCTTTCTGCCACCCCCCTCTGGAGATACTGTACTTAGGGACACTTTTCCCCAAACTGGCCCATACTCTCCTTCCCAGTAGAAAGATCTCACTGTTCTTCTGGGCTCCTTCCCTAGGCAAGTTGCTCCCTGAGCTGCTCCAACCTTACACAGAACGCGTGGAACATCTGAGTGAGTTCCTGGTGGACATCAAGCCTTCCTTGACTTTTGATATCATCCCCCTGCTGGACCCCTATGGGCCCGCTGGCTCTGACCCCTCCCTGGAGTTCCTGGTGGTCAGCGAGGAGACCTATCGTGGGGGCATGGCCGTCAACCGCTTCCGCCTTGAGAATGTAACCCCTGAGGGAGACTGGCAGGGGGAGTGGATGGGGGACGGGGAAGGCCATTTTGAGGGGACTGTTGGAAGTACCATGGCCCCAGAGAAGTGGGGGCTTAGGGTGGTGGGAAGAAGCAAGGAGGAACTGGTTCTGTTTGCCCGCTGAGTTGGAGGAGGAGCCTGGGGAGGAAGGGGAGGATGGGGGGCAGGTTGGATGTCAGGGGCTTCCTCTCACTCCTTCCCTCTTTTCACCCTTTCCTCTTTACCCCAGAACTTGGAGGAGCTTGCCTTGTACCAGATCCAGCTGCTGAAGGATGTCAAACATACAGAGAATGAAGAGGACAAAGTCAGCTCCTCCAGCTTCCGCCAGCGAATGCTGGGAAACCTGCTTCGGCCTCCATATGTAAGCTTCTCTCCCTCCTTCCCTCCTGCTTGGGTGTGCTGGCAATGCTGAAGAGTAGAAGCTGAGGGGCTCAGCCCCAGGCATGAGGCTGAGGGCCCCAGTAACTGTGGGTTCCCTTTCACCTACCCCCCAGGAAAGGCCAGAGCTCCCAACGTGTCTCTATGTAATTGGGCTGACTGGCATCAGTGGCTCTGGGAAGAGCTCAATAGCTCAGCGGCTGAAGGGCCTGGGGGCGTTTGTCATTGACAGTGACCACCTGGGTCATCGGGCCTATGCCCCAGGTGGCCCTGCCTACCAGCCTGTGGTGGAGGCCTTTGGAACAGGTAATAACTGGGGAAGGCTGGAAGTGGCCTGGAGTGAGGAGCTAGCCAGGCGTCTGTGCTCAGTTGTCTATCTCTGTTGTCCAGATATTCTCCATAAAGATGGCATCATCAACAGGAAGGTCCTAGGCAGCCGGGTGTTTGGGAACAAGGTAAACAACAGTTTCCTAAGGGCTCCTAAGCCTCTACTAGACCCCCAGGGATCAGGGTCTGGTGGACCTCTCTGGTCTGGCCCAGAATGCCGATTCCACTGATCTGTTCTCAACACCACCTTGCTCGGGCTGGCGTCTTCTAGAGAAGGTAACCTCTGCCCTCTGTTCCCCTCCCCAGAAGCAGCTGAAGATACTCACAGACATTATGTGGCCAATTATCGCAAAGCTGGCCCGAGAGGAGATGGATCGGGCTGTGACTGAGGGTGAGTAGGAGGGAGGATAGGAGCAGCCAAGGAGACAGTTAAGCTGATTCTTCCCCTGGGAGCTTCCCTGCCCCACGTGGACTGTCCGCTCACCCTGGGACTGTGTTGCGTGTGCTTTGCCTGGGAGAGCGTCAGCACTGCTGGCGGTGACTGGGCTCTCCCCACAGGAAAGCGTGTGTGCGTGATTGATGCGGCTGTGCTGCTTGAAGCCGGCTGGCAGAACCTGGTCCATGAGGTGTGGACTGTTGTCATCCCTGAGACTGAGGTATCTCAGCCCCACCCCCACGCCATCCCTACTGCAGATCCTATCCTGTGAGCTGGAATTCTTCCTGACAAATGTCTCGTCTGTGCCCAGGCTGTAAGACGCATTGTGGAGAGGGATGGCCTGAGTGAAGCTGCAGCTCAAAGCCGGCTGCAGAGCCAGATGAGCGGGCAGCAGCTTGTGGAACAGAGCCACGTGGTGCTCAGCACCTTGTGGGAGCCGCATATCACCCAACGCCAGGTTGGTGCCCAGGGCAAGGCTGGGTTGTGGGGAAGGAGTCTCCAGTGGATGCTGCCTGACCCTGCCCTCTCTTCCTCCCAACATTCCGGCCTGTCTGAAGGTGGAGAAAGCCTGGGCCCTCCTGCAGAAGCGCATTCCCAAGACTCACCAGGCCCTTGACTGAAAAGTTCTCAGTGGGGCCAGACTGGCCCCTGGAGCTGACAAGCGACCCCGTGGTGAGGAGAAATGGGGGCCTTGATGCGTATCCTGGTTCAGGCCCAGAGGTCTAAGCTATGCTGTGTAGGACATGGCCAGGCCTGGTGGACTCAGGAAACCTACCCAACACTGGTATTTGGCCAACACTGAGGATGTGGTTCATGGATGAGCAGGCCCCTCCCCACTCTTGCCCATGGGTGACTCTTACCCACAGCTGACTAGGGCCAGCGCAAATACTGGAACCTGTAACAGAATTAAAGGTGAATGTTCCCAGGTATTGCCTGGATGGTGTCTGCTTCCTGCTCCAATGCCTCTAAGTATCTTTGGGATCCTTAAGCCACAAGTGCAGGGCCCAGGCCTGAGCTGGAAGCCTGGGCAATGCAGTGGTTAAGAGGATGGCCGGAGGGCCTTTAGGCGAGCCTTGGCCCTCCCACTGACCAGCTGTGTGCTTCTGAGTAAGGTGTAGACTTTCTAGGTACTGCCGTGTTTTTTTGTTTTTGTTTTTTTAATCTGAGAGGCCGCATAACCTAGCTAGCGGGTTCTTTGCAAGGGTTCATTCCACATGCATCCTGCCAGACACTGGGCTGGGTGTTGGAAGATCAGCCTTCCATGCGCCAGGCGGGGTCTCTGCCCTCACAGAGCTTGCAGCCTGGTGGGGTCGGACAGTGTGGCTGCGGAGCTTCTCTGCCCGGCTCCTGACACACCGGCAGCAGTGCAGGTCCGGGGAGCGCGGGGAGACCGCCCGCAGGGTAACGTGTGGAGCCAGCCGGCCGGACAGTGCGCATGCACACACTACCTGCGGCGGTGTGCTGACAAGCCAATTGCAGGTACTCCATCTTACAAAACGCGCTTCATGTCGCCGCCATTCCAATGCCTAACCCAGAGAGGGCAGGCACGACGGGGAGCAGTCCCGAAGGCGGCTGGCGCCAGGCCGAGCACCGCGCTTTGACAGCTGGAGTCCGGGAGACGTCTTTGGGCCTCGCATGCGCGATGCTCTCGCCCTGCCCCACCTCTCGGTCGCGGATTGGCGGGCGTGGGTCACGTGGGCACACCACCCGTTTCCTCGCCGCAGGGGGCCCGCCCGCCGGCTCGTTTCCGGTCCGGTGGGTCCAAGATGACTGAGCCGGGCGCCTCTCCCGAGGACCCTTGGGTCAAGGCAAGCCCCGTGGGCGCGCACGCCAGCGAGGGGAGGGCGGGTCGGGCTCGTGCACGTAGGGGGTCCGGAAGACGAGGGGCTTCCCTCCTGTCCCCAAAGTCCCCCATGCTCTCCGGGCCCCGGGGCTGCAGAGAAGACAGCTCTCACCCCGCGTGTGCCAAGGTGGGGAGACAAACGAGGCGTGTGCGCGCGAGTCGGGGGAACGGGGGACTGGGGTGGAGTAGGGGCGGAAGAGATCATACACGGGGGAGGCGCTCGCACGGCCTAGCCCGTGCCAAGTCTCGGGGGAATCATTAAGGTGCCCGCGCACCCCGGGCTGTGTGTGCGCGAGCGCACAGGGTGACAGAGGTGCCTTCCCGGAATGCGGAGCGCACTGTGTGTGCCTGCAGTGAAAGTGTCGCCCCCACCAGGGGCGGAGGTCTGACGGGCCCCTCCCGTGCTCTGTGCCGCAGGTGGAGTATGCCTACAGCGACAACAGCCTGGACCCCGGTGAGTAGCTCCCCCATCTTAAGCTCTAGAGGTACACTCCCGCCCAGGCTCTCTAGAATTCTTGTGGTGTTGCCAACCACGCCTGAGCACAGTCCACTGTCCCTGAGCAGAGTTCCTGGCTTGAGACAGCAGGAGCTGAAGGACGAGGGCAGAAAACAACTGAGGGTGACACCTAGTTCCCTCTGTTCTGGAACAGGGAAGTGGTGGAACTAATGGCAGCTGATCACTCACACTGTCACGTCCAGATGCCCGTTTGTGAGCCAGGGGGTATCATGCAGGCCTATGGAGCAGTGTAGACACTAGGGAGCAGAGCGCTGCAGCGTAGTCTGGCTGGAAGTGGGGGGCCCAGTATGGTTGGCTTTGGGTTGAAGGGAAGAGGTCAGCATTTAAGAAAGCCATTGTGTCCTACAGGTGTCTGAGGGTCTGGCAGTGTTCCCCACCCTGCCCCTTAGTGATTGGGGCCTCTCTTTTCCAGGGCTTTTTGTAGAAAGCACCCGCAAGGGGAATGTAGTGTCCAGAGCTAATAGCATCGGTTCCACCAGTGCCTCTTCTGTCCCCAACACAGGTAGGCAGTTACATCCCCCCCACCTCGAGGGGCTCAGATACGTCATAATTGTAGTACCTTTCCTAGACAGGGAAGCCCCAGCCATCCACACAGGGGTGCTGGAGCCCAAGTATCAGACACAGGGTCTCACCATCTTTCACCTCATCTGGAACATTAGGTTCTCTGTCCATCTGCCTTCTCTGGACACCAGGTTCTTCCCAGATAGGGAAAGGTGGGCTAGCTGGACCCCACTGGGCCCCAAGATGACCTCTCCCTGCCCCCATCTCTGAGCGTAGATGACGAGGACAGTGATTACCACCAGGAGGCCTACAAGGAGTCCTACAAAGACCGGCGGCGGCGAGCACACACTCAGGCTGAGCAGAAGAGGAGGGACGCCATCAAGGTGACCAGGGAGGCCTGTGCCTCAGCCAGTGTAGGAGGGCCCTGCATAGTTCAGCTTCCCTGTGCCCTGACCCTCTCAGACAGTCCCAGGCACCCTAGGGGTGGGCAGATAGTGTAGTCCCAGGCATGAACACTTCCATTGCAGCCTTCCCAACCCGTTGTGTTTGTAAGCATAGAACTTGGTATCACGAAAGAACTTTGTGCCAGTTTGCTTTAATCTCTCAGGGTTAAAAACCCCATTTCCCCTGCTGTCTCCACAGAGAGGCTATGATGACCTTCAGACCATCGTCCCCACTTGCCAGCAGCAGGACTTCTCCATTGGCTCCCAAAAGCTCAGCAAAGCCATCGTTCTACAAAAGAGTATGGCTAGGGAAAGCACTGGAGGGGCTGGAGTCAAGAGGGGCTGTGAAGAGGCCAGCGCCTCCTACCCACCCATGGCTCGGCCTTGGTTTGGTGATTGCCATGGGATAGTTGGGGTCTAGGGGAAGGGGAACAAAGTCAGCCTTATCTTCCTGTTTGAGAATACTTCTGTACCTACCCTCTTTTCCTGCCCCTACCCTAGCCATTGACTACATTCAGTTTTTGCACAAGGAGAAGAAAAAGCAGGAGGAGGAGGTGTCCACATTACGCAAGGATGTCACGGCCCTAAAGATCATGAAAGTGTAAGAGGGGTGCTGAATGGGGGGAACCAGAGCTTCTGAGGGAACTTCATTGCACACCCTCCCTTGTTCAAAGGCTACATCAGTTACTACAGTACAGGTAATACTCTCAGTTCCTGAGCTAGCCAGTAGAAGCAGGACTGTGTATCCCCAACTGTCCTTACACATGGCAGACACTCAGGAAATGTCTGTTGGATTAATGTAAGGAAGGTTGGAGAGAGAGGGCCATTTCCTGGCCTGGAAGCAGTATTTCCCTGATATTGAACCCCACCCAGAAGCTCTCTGGGGATGCCATTCCTGGGAGTACACAGGGTAGTCCCATCATTTTTCTTGGGTGGGCGGAGCTGCTACAGCACCTCAGCCCTGGCCTGCATGCTTTTAGGAACTATGAGCAGATTGTGAAGGCACACCAGGACAACCCCCATGAAGGGGAGGACCAGGTCTCTGACCAGGTCAAGTTCAACGTGTTTCAAGGCATCATGGATTCCCTGTTCCAGTCCTTCAATGCCTCCATCTCGGTGGCCAGCTTCCAGGAGCTGTCAGCCTGTGTCTTCAGCTGGATTGAGGAGCACTGTAAGCCTCAGGTATGGAGCAACAATGGGCACAGGGCCTGCGGTTTTCTCTACCATCAAGCAAAGTGGCCCAAGCCATCAGCTGTTGAGAAAAGCATGGCAGCTCCTTTTAGATCTTAAGGGTATTTCTACAGCTTTCAGGACCCTGGTATTTTCCCGTTTCTTTGCTGTCTAACCCACACCTTCATGTTATGGTTTCATTTGGCAAGTGTGATGTGAGCTCAATGTCAAGTCTAGCTCTTGGCTTTCGTCTAGCCTATGTTATCGCTGCACCTGTATGGAAGCCCCAGGCATCTGCAGCAGAATTGGAAACATGGAAATTCTGGGACCCTACCTCCAGGCCCACTCAAGTAGTTGCCCCAAGAGCTTTTTAGAAATGTATTTATAGTGGAGATGTGCTAATGGTATTGCACTAAGTCTTCTAATTGAAGTCTGGTTGCTTTTTCTGAGGCTTTAAACTTGTGTCTGAGATTTCTTTTTTTTTTTTTGAGACAGAGTCTCACTCTGTCACCGAGGCTGGAGTGCAGTGGTATGATCTCAGATCACTGCAACCTCCACCTCCTGGGTTCAGGCAATTCTCGTTCCTCAGCCTCTTGAGTAGCTGGAATTACAGGCATGCGCCACCATACCTAATTTTTGTATTTTTAGTAGACATGGGGTTTCACTGTGTTGGCCAGGCTGGTCTTGAACCTCAGGTGATCCACCCGCCTTGGCCTCCCAAAGTGCTGGGATTACAGGCATGAGCCACCGTGCCCGGCGTGTCTGAGATTTCTTGTTTGTGGCGCAGTCTCGGCTCACGGCAACCTCTGCCTCCTGGGTTCACACCATTCTCCTGCCTCAGCCTCCCGAGTAGCTGGGACTACAGGCGCCCACCACCATGCCCGGCTAATTTTTTGCATTTTTAGTAGAGACAGGGTTTCACCATGTTAGGCAGGATGGTCTCGATCTCCTGACCTTGGGATCCACCCGCCTTGGCCTCCCACAAGTGCTGGGATTATAGGCATGAGCCACTGCGCCCGGCCTCGTTTCCCAACATTTTTATTGTGAAACACATTAAACATATTGCAATGTTAAGAGGACTTCACAGTGAACACTCGTATACCCAGTACCTAAATTTTACCAAAACATTTTACTGTATTTCCATGTCTCCATCCTGCTTCAGGAGCACCTCAA